TAGCAATAAATATTTGACAATTCAAAACAAAGGGAAGAGAGAGAGAATGAAAGAATAAAAGAAGGAAAGGAAGGACAGTGGGAAGGGAGAGGGAGGGAGAGAGAGAGAGAGAGAGAGAGAGAGAGAGAGAGAGAGAGAACTGCTGGTTCTCCAAAGTGGTCTTGCGTTGTCCATTCCCCCTGTGATGCCTGTGTGAACATTTCGGTTGCTTCACATCCTCAGCAACACTTGGTATGGCCCGGCTTTTAAATTGGAGACATTCCATACATGTGTAGCGATATGTTTAGGGTTTTAATTTGCATTTTCTTATTTGGCATATGTACATCTACTTCAGTGAGGTGTCCGTTCAAATCTTTTGCTCATTTAAAAACACAGCCTTAAAATAAAAATATAAAAATACAGTCTTCCACTTTCACTCTTAAATATTCACCATATCCGCCCCCCTTCCCAACATTCCCTTCCCTCCCCTCCCTCCCTCCTTCCCTCCTTCCCTCCCTCCCTTCCTTCTTTCCTTCCTTCCTTCCTTCCTTCCTTCCTTCCTTCCTTCCTTCCTTCCTTCCTTCCTTCCTTCCTTCCTTCCCCACCAACAGGGGACTAAATGCAGTCCCAGGAAGTCTCTTTGCTCTTTCACTCCTCTGGCCTCTGCAGTTATGAGTGGCCACTACCCAAGTTGTTAGTCCCCAAATCCTACAGCTCTCTGAGCAAGCTTGAGAGCCCTCTGCCTTTTTCATTCCCGGCAACGCAAACATCATATTGTATTTTCCTCGTACATCTGTCTCCACACCAGACCACAGCTCTACTGAGGACAAGGCTGTATTTGGCCTTTGACCCCCTTGTGCATTTCAGTGCCTGGCCGCAGTGGACGCTCCGAGATATACTGACTAACCTAATCCTGCTTTCCTCCCCTGGGAGAAGGTGACATGGGGTACAGTATCTATTCTCTGTGAAACTGCCCCATTCCGTTGGAGGAACTGCCTTCGAATCTCAGCAGGGTTCCTGAACTCCTCGTGCTGCCTCTGATCACACGAACAACAATGTTGACAACAATGCCATGTGGAGGAACCTCCGCCCTGAGAACACGTGGCTGCCTCAGGTGCCGCGTGGAGCTCTCCATGGTCCTGGGAGGGCCCCCTGCTCAGCGCTCTGATTCCAGGCACGCCTCCCTCACTGCCATTCTCTCCTTCCCCGTTTACAGCGCCGGGGCTGCACTTTCTCACAATCTAGGCTCCACGGACCATCTCAGTATCCTGTGTTTTTTTTTTTAATTAAAATTTTAAAAATACATAAAACTACAAAATATAACCACCCAGCATTAATATTAATATTTGAAAAAAATAGATGTATTTACTTCAGATCTTTACTACAAACGAGAAAAAAGAAACCCGTCACAGAATGCTGAGGTCGTCTAGGGTCCCCTCCTCCCTTCCAGCCTCCTCTTTGTCTTCAAAGACAGCCGCACTCATGGACTTATGTGTATCCTGGCCGTATTTTCATCCTTTCACTACACGTTTCCATAAATAGTATTGTTCTGTGTCCCCCTCGCAAATCACAAACGTTGTAATATTACCCTCCAGTGAACTGACCATATTTCAAGGGGAGCCCTATATAAGGAATGAATCATGAATGAAAAACGCAATCCAAAGGGTTGGTCATTCTTTTGAATTTCGTCATTCTGAGAGATGGGGACTGGCTCTCACGGTTTGATTGGCAGTTCGCTAATAACTAAAGATGGTAAGCATCTACGCAGCTGCTACTTGCCCTTCGTACATATTCTTTGGTGATGTGTCTGTTAAGATTTTTGCCCATGAAACATTGTTTTAAAAGAGTTATTGATATCCAGGAGTTCTTTACATATTTGGATACAAAACCTTTACATGTGATTTGTAAATCTGCATCAGTAGCCCATCCCTCGCTGCTGACTCCTGTGCGGGATGGCCCAGGGTGGCCACTCACCTGCTGATGCCGACACTCCCTGACCTTACAGTTTTTAAAAAGCATTTCCCTTTTGCTCCCGGAATGATGTTTTATCCACAGGCACTCATTTTTGTTTCTATAGATAGACTTTCCTAAGTATGCAGTGATTCTTGGTCACCGTTTCACATTTTTAAAAAAAGCACCAGGAAAGCCTGAGTAGAAGCCTGAACTGAGGGGTCCGTGCCTCCTGGGCTCCCATGTGGCAGGAGGCAGGGGGCTAACCAGCCATTGTGTTGGAGGATCCTTAAAGGTCAAAATGTGGAGAAATGTTTTTTTGTTTTTTTTCCTCTCTGGAATGCTAACATCTAGTTATTCTGGTTCTCCCCAGATTCCTCATTCCTCCTCCCACCTTTTCTCTTCCTCCCCCCCCCACCTTTCCCTGGGAATAATATATAGCTAATTTCTGAGCTTTCGTGCTGTTTGCAGGAGCAGGAATGGAGGGGACCCTGGCATCTGCTCTGTACAGACTTCCAGTTGGCCGTCATTTTGAGGTGCACATTTCACTTCCCCCTTCTGTCAGCCCTGGCATTTAGCATCTACCATCTCAGCAGGGCACAGTACAGGCTCTCCATCATCACAGCTCCGCGTGTCCCCATTCTCACACATGCTGTGGTTTGCTGCAGTGGCGACTCGTTCTCATTCGCTTACAGGCCATTCCCTCCCACACCTCCAAATTGCTTTACGGTGATTGTAGCAGGCTTGGGATAGGGAGAGGAGTCACCGCATATGTTCAGGTCATCCCACTAAGCCGGGAACTTTCAAGTGCACTCCTAAAAAGCATGAAAACTATTCTTTTTTTTTAATTGGGGAATTGGGGGGATGGGAACAGCGCTGGGGAATTGGGGGAAAGGGAACAGACAAGTTGCTGTCCTTTTGTTCTTCAGTCTAGTTGTGGAGGATGTTGCTTCTCTGGCCCAAGTTGGCACCATCATTGCGTCTTCCCAAGCGAGGCAGATCAGTCGCTGGCTTCTGGACGGCTGCTCACTGCAGCTGCTGGCCGCTCACGCTGGCTGCTGGCTACACACGGTAGCCCATGGCAACCCACTGCCACAGGGGCTGCAGCCTAGCCGTTGTCGGCAACTCACGGCAGCCCAGCTCCAGGTTGAGGCGTTGTTCAGCATCTTAGCTGTGGAGGGCAGTGTCACTGGCCCTCATACGTGGGATCCAAACCGGGGCCCTCTGGCATCCCAAGCCAGTTCTTTAACCATCGCGCAACTCGGCCAGCCCGCATGAAAACTATTCTTAATGATGCTTTAAAAAAAGAAAAAGGAAATCTTTCCAAATCACTACAAGAAGTAAACAAAGGAAGCTGCAAACGAACAAATAATAAGAACAGAAAACATGAGACAGGACATTCCAGTATAGCAATTAGTGTGATCATTTGAGCTAACTTACTAAATGGGAAAGTCTATTATTATGTTGTTAAAGATAAAACAAATGACATTTAAAAACGTAGACTGACAGGACAGGCAAAGAAATGATGAATTTATCATCATGAATTTATCAACAAAAAACACAGTATGTCAATATCCTTATCAAAGTAGAATTCAAAGAATGAAAGAATTTGGCAGGAAGATTGTCTTATATTGATAACAGGTACAGATGATATGGTGGAAATTTTGCAAAATAACAGAAAACATAAAGCAAAAACTACTAGAAATACAACGAAAATTTGATAGAAGAAAAATAAGCTTGTAGAGAACTTTAACAATGTAATTAGTGTTTGAATTAACAAACTATTGAACAAATAGCATAAACTTTTTAATAAAAATGGTCTTGCTATTGTTGTTAAAGGCTTGAGGCTACAAAGGAAAACTCGAAATCCACAAAGGAGAAATTTCACATAAATGATCTCTATCCACACATGTGATAAAGAACAAAATACCTTTCAATAAAATCCCCAAGTGGTTGAAAACTTAAAAGCATCACTCCAAACAGAAATTTGTTTCCTAAAAATATTTGGATCAAAGCAAACCTGAGAAGTCCAGCTGGAGACATTTTAGGATCATAATGATAGGAACATTATTAAGCGCAGGAAACGTAGTCAGTCTTATTCAGCAGAAACACACAGCCTTAAAAGCTAAAAGTATGTTGCTAATAAGTGCATTAAGCACTCCTTTTAAGCAGTTATGAACACAGTATCTCCCCTAAATTACAAGTGAAAATGAGATAAAAGCAGGTATTAATAAACTAGGAAATTCAGAGAAAATCACCATAATAAAAGTTAGTTTACAGTAAAACAAAAGAAATAAACTTTGAAAATATCTAATGAAGAAAATAACCCACAAGATTAGAATGTCAGCGTCGACATAGTCTTACAGTTTGCCATCTCCTGTACACCTGTTGGCAAACCCTCTTTCTCATTTCTCATCTGTATGGGGTACATTTGAAAATCTCAAAAGAACTAGATGATTTTTTTAAAAAGAAAAAATCCCAATGGCTAAAGTAGAAAACAGACCAATAACCGTGTAAGAAAATAAAAGAATGCTAAAATTGTAAACTTGAAAAAGGTATTCCTGTTAAAAATCACACAAGAATCCTGATGATCACCTCTATTATCCAATATTGTTCTCGAATTTCTTGCTAATATAAAGAGAAAACAACAAAAGCAACAGCTTCAAATGTTGTAAAACAAGAACGCAAGATATTTGCAAATGATGTGACTGCAAAGCTAGAGAACCTAAGAATAACAAAACAAAAAAGTTGGAATTTATAACTTCAGGAGCGTGGCTGGAGATGACAAATACAGAAACCTCAATAGCTTTGATGTAGCCTAGTCATAAACATATTTGGGTACACAGTCTCATTCCCAATAAACAAAATATCAAATATCTGAAAAGAACCTTAACAGAAATGCACAAGATTTACATGAAGAATATTACATGGCTCTATCGCGACAGGAATGTTTGATGTTATGAAATGTTAATGTAGGCGGGAGGCAGATTTCAGGGCTGACAATGTTACTGTCTGAACTTCCAGAATAAACAAGTGTCGACAGAGTAACAATGAGGACTAACAAAAAACGATTGGACTTGTGACAGTAACTTTATTAATCTCCTTAATTAGTGTAATTAGTACAATGGCTAATTGTACAATGACAGCTTACTAAGTTATAAGGAAACGGAGGGCAGAGTGACAGGCCCAAACGGGATTTCTTCCCGTGTCAATCATCCACCATCCAGTGCATGCTGGGAAAGCAGGGCCAAGCATCAGACTTTTGGGTACAGGCGCCCCTCCAGCCACAGAGCGGCCCTGTCGGGAGTCACAGCCCGGGGCGCTTCTCGGTGGCTCCATCCCTCCGCCCGGGCGCGCCCTCTGAGCGCGGGGCCCACATCAGGCAAGGCTGGCCCGGGCTTCGAGTTTCCCTGAGGAGATGCGAAATGTCTATTGCTCTATGGTTTCAAATGGTCATGGGGTCACAAAAAGGGCCGAAGTTCATTTAATAACAAAAGTTCCTGGTGATGAGCGTTTTGAGCGAAAACGACGCGCAGCCGCATCAGGAAGCTTTCTGTGTGATTCTCACAGCCCACTGAGGATACAGTGTCTGCGTGAAAACTCGGGAGGGAGGAGCCCCGCGTGGGAGGCGAGCCCCGTGGCGCGGGCGGGGGCGCGGCGTGAGCCCCCAGGAAGCAGCGTGAGGCTGCTCTGGGGGGGCTCTGGGCGGAAGCGAGCGCCGCCTCGCGTTTCCACTTCTCCTCTGGTCGCCGCCCCCCGCGCAAGGGGCGGCGGCTGGGGCTGCTCTGTCCCAGGCCGCGGTGCCCGCAGATCCTCTCGCCGCCTGGTGTGCTCTGAGACACCTGGCAGCGAGCGGTGGGGTTGTTAGTGCCGGTTATCGCCGCGGACCCTTCCGTGCATGGAAGACATTCTGCTTCAACATACGGTTCTGCAACATTGAGAAGCACTTAACACAACGCCTTAAGACATTCTAGTTCTGCTCAGAAGGGAAATACGGGGGGGGGGGGGGGGGGGGGGAGGAAAAGCACCTCGGACCAGAGAAGACTGGAGACTGACGGAGTGACCGGAGACTAGGGGCCGGGGTGGGGGCCGCCCCACCTGATGATGAGTGCAGTCACCTGATGAGCCAGGCCTCACCTGGGCCACCGCGTGTCCTCTCTCTTCCCGTGCTCTCCGCCTACACAGGACCCAACAGGGAGAACTCATGACTTTCCCTGAGTCTGTGACTGCACCGTGGGCACCCCAGGCCTCTCTGACTCAGCAGGACGAGAGGGTCCTTGAAGGTAGATCACACCTCTATGGGGGGAGGGGTCATCGCCCTTGACCTTGAACCAGTTGTAGGGGGTTGTCCAAGGGGTAGTGGAAGGTTCCGGTCCATAGAGGCCATTGAGGACAGCGGGCACCTTCTGGTCTTGTGCACGCTTCGCTGTGTAGAACCCAAAAAGGTAAGCCCGAAATCAGAGAGATGGAGAGTGGTAATTACCCAGAGTTCCACAGTCCTACCCTGCAACACAGTGCGACACTTTAACCTACATTTCATTTGATTAGCTTGTTATTAGGTAGCTTGCAAATGTACTAGGAAAACAATTCCTAGAGCAAATCTTGAAAAAGATAAAAACTACTGAGAAATAATGCATTTGTGTAATCCCCATAGAAACATCTAAAAACTTCAAGTCGAAGATAATTCCATTGACAATGGACTTAAAACAAAAATGGAATTATAGTTTTTCTGGACTTCGGATAATCTTCAAACTTCGCAAGATACCACCTAAAATAAGGAAAAAGGGACATTAAAAAAGGAAATAATTTTGTCACTTAAACATTTAACAGATGCTAACAAAATGGATAATATTTTTTTATTACAAAGGCATACAGAGTTTTTAAAAGTAGTAATAACAACTTTGGCATTTCAGATACACAGTTTGATTTTGGCTCATCATGAATACTTAAACATATCCGATGATAAAGCATGATTCACCAGAAGTGACCCCTATATTGTTATTCACCTTTATATTGGCAAGGACAATCACTGATGTGTGATGGAGATGTGACCGGCCCCGGGGGAGCTATCTGTCCAGACCCCAGAGGCATGCAGACTGGGGGCAGAGAGGCCTTTGGTGGCTCTGACAGTTCTCTCCCGTCCCCAGGAGAGAACTGCTGCCTGAGACCCAGGGTCTCCGGAAAGGGCACCCAACCTGGTGACTGTCAGTCACACAGACCTGGGAAAATGCAACACGGGGTCGGTCATAATTTGGCCCTGCCCTCGGGATAAGCAGATATTTCCCGTTTTGACATAAATTAAGAGCAACGAAGGCACACTCACTTGTGTGGGGAAATGGGTAGTTGGGGAGGGTAGAAGCTAAATGGAGGAAACATTTTAAATAATTTGATGAAGAAACAGCAGAAGAAAGATAGTTCCCATAAGCACAAAAGAATGCTAAACAGATTAAAAATCACGACTAGTTATTTGTTAATATGGCAGAAATATATGACAACAGCACACTGAGTCAGCCAGGTCCTGTCGGTTTTAGACGTTGGAGGAGTTGAGCGCTGTAACCCACAAGCACAGAACGCTAACAGGCTGCGCGCCTCTCTCCAGATGCTGTTCTGTATACCCCACAGCGGGTAACAAGAGAAGCGCAGAGAACCTGGGCAGCGGGCCTGTGCGTCAGGCGTAGTAACAGCCGTTTTTTCAAGAGCAGCGACAGGCTGCAGACAAGAGAGCCCATCGCGGACCGTGTGCACGGATCACGGATGACGCCGTGCAACGTGCGCTGAAGTGCAAATACACAGAGCTCAGGCACGCACAGTTTTCATAGGCCTGCCTCCCAAGTTCACGTTAAAAACCTGATGCCCAAAGGGATGGTAGCGGTAGGCAGGCCTTTAGAAAGTGACCAGGTCCTGAGGGTGGAGCACATGAGGAGGCCGGTGTCTGACAGAAGAGGCCCCAGTGAGCTCATCGGTCCTTCTGTCCTGTGAGGGCACTGTGAGCAGGTGCTGTCTGCGGCCCAGAAGAGACTTCACCTGAACTCGAGCACGTTTATGAGATGCACCCTGATCTTGGACTTCCAGCCTCTAGAACTGTCAGAAATAAATGTCTGGTTCTTAAAGCACCAAGTTCATGGTGTTTTTGTTCTAGCAGCCTGAGCTGACGAAGACAGCCTACTGGGGATTGGAACATGGGCCACCAGCAAGTTTCTGAGTGCTTCCCCTAGAAACTGCCCCCTCAGGAGGACGTGCTGGCCTTGCACGCCCACGCACACCGGCGGGTTGTCAGGGGTCACGGGACCGCTCTGCATGCTGCGCTGAGCGGCAAGGGGCCATCCTCACGCTCTTCCAAAGAGCCTTTACTAGGGCAGAGTTTTCTCACCCATAAATCTGTGCTCATCAGATACATTACGTTTATTCACGCAAATCATTCTACAAATAAACTGCACTTTTTGTTAAATGATTGAGTAGAGTGGAATTACCTCAATCATTTAATCTGAAATTACAACTCCACCTCTAGAAACTGTGTTTGAGGATTTTGAAATACTCTGTATATGCATCAGTATTCTTCAAAGGCTGGCAAGCAGCATGATGTCTAGTCTATTTCTCACGCATTTTTCCATCTCTAGACTCAAAACGCTGTCATGGGCTGGATGCCGACTTTTTGTCCTGATTTTGTTACAGTTGGGCCTGAAGTAATGCTCCGCTGCCTTTGGCTTGAAAGAGAAATGACCCCTAGCCTAGGGCTGCCCACTTCTCACATTCAGGTTAAATCGCAATACCGTCAATCACAGTGTCTTGAAGACACACCGAATTAATTTTTTTAAGTGACATTAAGCTTAATAGGTAAGCATACAGTAATTTTTTTTTATTTCGACAGAGCCCCTCTTCAAATGCTGGCCTCACTGGCCAGTGTCCGAGCTACAGCATGTAGACTTGACAAGTCCACATCTGTCCTCAGCCTGTCTCTCCACGGCCGCTGCAGAAGCCAGTGTGGCCTGCACACGGCCCCACTACAGAAGCGTGGCTGCCAGGGGTGGTGAGGAGGAAGCATTGCAAAAACGCCTCCTTACAATTCCTTGAAGTTTTGCCTCAAACCAGGATATCGGTTCGCAGTTGGCACAGCTGACCCAGTGTGCCCGACCTAAAGCTTAATGATCACTTTACTCATTTAGGAATTAAACAATTCAGCTCTAGCTGTGACAGATGGAAGCACTAATACAATCCTGCCTTGGTGCAGGAACAGCCCCATGGACTGCTTTCTTTTGCAGTCAGTTTATCTGACGGTTTAAATAGTTGGGCTCACTGGATTATTAGAAAAAGAACAGTGGTATAGTGCTTATTTTGTCCTCAGCTTGTAAAGCCAATGTTTCCAAACACACTCCCATCAAACTGAATCGCCTGATTGGCCATTAAAATTGGTTTCACACAGACATCAAATTAAACATCGAACCAGCCCTTTCAACTCACGACTATTTCTGCAAAGAATCCCTTGGGTTTTCACTAACAGAGATTTTCATTTGGGAACTGGCATTATGTATTTTCTATTTCTGAGTGTTTTATATTCAAATGCCGAGAGGGATTTTCCTGTTCCCTGTTTTCATTTGAGGAAACATCTTTACAACTGACCTGGCATCCTCTTGGTCAATCTCCCTCTGATCCAATTTCTTATTATCGCATTTATTTGTATTACTAGAAAGCAGCCAACATTTGCTTCTTAATATCTAATATCACAAATGCCCAGGAGTAGCATCTGCCCCCAGAGGCAAATGCAGCTACTAAAAAGGTGGTCAAGAGGAGGAGGGGGGAGGGGAGAAGTGGGGGGAGGAAGAGGGAGAGGATGGATTCCCAGGACACAGGGCGTCAGGCTGGGCCCGGATTAGCTGCGGCTGGGCTGTCCTCATTGCTGACGCATGGAATCTAGCTTGTTTTATTCATTTTTCTAGGACTCTGTAATGTACATTTCAAGTGGTAACGTATTATTTCAGCCAAGCCTGTTCAGAGTCTGAATCCTTCTGATTCTGAGAAAAGCATTTAGATGTGATCTGGGGGTGCGTGAGCCTGGGAGGACCCCAGGTCTGCACAGTGCAGAGCCTGTGAGAAGGGCCCTGTGAGGACCTGCGCTGGGCTCCCCTCCAGGACAGGATTTCCCCAACCTGCTGGGCTCTGCGCTCCCGCAGCTGCGAGGTCAGCATTCCCCCGCCATCAGCGTGTCCCCTGTCAGATCCCAAATCTCCTGGTAACATTCAATTTGACCATCGCGTCCAGAGTCCAGCAGCGCCAATTCAGAGAGGCTCAGAACAGGGTGGGGAGCGTGCAGGTGCTGCCCTGTACCCAGGGTTCCTGACAGCTGGGCTATTCCTCAGATACCTGCATGGCTTCCAGCTTGTTTGGCCAAAGCATGTGCCAGCTAGGATTCAGCCGTTCAAATTAACATTCACATTTCAAAAATCTAACCTAGAAATCGGTATAATCAGGTCAAAGCACAAACTGAGAGTGCTAAACGTGCTTTAAAACTTACCGGTGATGCTGCAGTGCTCTGGAGAGCAAGACGCAGAAGGTGAAGAGTGCGAAGGCCCCCCCTTGGACAGACCAGCTGGCCAGGCCATAGCCACACCACTCCATGACTTCTCCGAAGTAGTTGGCTGCACTCACATATTCAAACAAGCCTCCTGGAAGGAAGCACAGAGCGGAGATGCGCTGAGGGACAGACAGACCACAAAGGGATAAGACGCTGCTCAAGAAGCCGGCAAGGACTTCCCCGGAGCACATGCCTTCAACTGCGGGAAAATCCCACTTCTACAGGATTGTCATCAATGGAACCCATGCAATGCTACTCATTTTACTATTTCAGATCACAATGCCTGGTACTAACTCTATACCTGTATCAATACCTATCCATTTATCTGAATATAAAAGGCTACAGTTTTCATCGACTTTAATATAGTGCTTCTCTAGTTAATGGACCAAGCTGAGAACACCTGAGCAAGGACAGAGACCACAGAATAACAAATAACGAACTAGCTTAATAAAAGGGACCTGCGCAGAACTCTAGACCAAAAATAGAAGAAAATATTCACTTTCAAGGACAGATTCATTCATTCATTCACTCATCAAACCTTCACAGATTCACCGAGTGTACATAATGGGCCAGACCGTGGTCTAGGCACTTGGGATGCACCACGGGCACGACCTACCCCCCCCCCCCCCCCGCCCCCCATATCTGGAACAGTAACCCTGAGAGCAATAAATACCCCAGGAAGCCCAGGGTAGGGCAGAGGGTGTGGGATGCCATGAGGGGCACAGCAGGCCGACAGGGCCCGGAAGGCCAGCTGGGTGGGTGGGGTGTGATCCTGCATGTGGGGGTGGGGCTGCAGTGGTTGGGGTGGGAACCTCCAGGCAGGAGAAGCAAAGGTCCTGAGGCCAGAGAGCAGAGCTGCACACCCTGCGGACCAGCCTCAGGTTCCCGCGTTAAGCAATGGAATTTTTGGTCCTTTGTTCATTCTGTTGCTGTTCGCCTAGTATGGTTTCCCAGAAACTACGGGGAAGGGTTCAGGCTGATCACGGCTGTGTGCTTTCCAGCTCCACTGAGTTTAGTCTCACGTACTGAATTTATCTTAGAAGCTCTATCGGTTTCTACTCATATCTGCTTAGTCCTTTGTATAGTCTATCAGTCTGTGACTCATAATGTAAATCCCTTTTTCTTTTTTAAACATTTAAGTCTTCACTTTGTAATCCGTTTCTATTAACTCTAAGATCTCAGGTCCCTCTCGTTTACTTGTGCTGTTAACTCTTGTGCCGGTTTCCTCATCGGCTCTGCAGCTTTCGAGTACGGCTCGTATTCCTTGGCACTTGGCCCATTGGGCTGAGGCCTGAGCTGGAGGCCGGTCCCTTTAGGGATATGGACGCGCACTGGCCGATGCATGTGGGCACCACCCCCTAGGACCACATGGTCCTAATTCACGGCTTGAGGTTTGTCAGACCATCTAAGTGACATGAATTTGGGCTACAAACCAGCGTGAGGGCAGCTAGTGGCTACGGATTCTTACGAGTGTGCTCTGGATGCTGGCGCTCACTCGGGCTTTGCCCTCTGATCGACGACTTCCTCTCCTGACATCACACTGACACACTTGAAAATATGTTTTTAAAATTCACTCAATATTGTTCATTTTCAGAGGGAGGGTGGGTCAAGGTATCTGTTCTCTGACATGGCTGGAAATGAGGCCCCGGACACCCCTGCAAACCACGCATGCTTCCTCACACTCTCTTTCAGAACACAGAGTTAACTAGCGTTTCCTTTTTGCTCAATAACCATTCAGTTGGCCAGAACTGGTTCTTCTATCATTCTAATAAAAAAATAATCACAGTGATGGCTTTTAATAGCAGTGACTCACACTGCAAACTACAGCTAATCCACTACACATTAGTTATGAGATCTGGCAAAGCTAAAACAAGGTACCACGCAATGCAATTCTAGAATCAATTCTCCATTTCAGTACATACCCCTCGGTATTTTGTAGCCAGTCTCCCCTGGCTTCCTGAGATTCCTTAGGATGTAATCTGAGTGGATGTTTATCAGCATGCCTCCTAACCACAAGACAAAACCTGAAGGGGAAAAATACACAAGGGCATTACATTAATAAACCACAAAATTCATGGCCTGTGCCTGAATGAGCATCACCACCGGGGCCCTTCACGGCATCAGTATTAGTGTACCAAGCCAGCCATAACCGGCAGTAAAAGTCATTGTAATAAATACTGTCCTTTATTTAGAAAGGTGATTCATAAGCACTGTTCTCAGGTGTGCTCAATAGGGCTTAGTTTTTCTTATTAATAAATGAACTGATCCATTCAAAATACTTTGACCTGGGCTGGCCAAATGGCTCAGTGGGTTAAGAGCTCGTTCAAAAGTGGGAGCTCTGAGCAACAGGGTCACTGGTTTGATTCCAAGCCCAAGCTGAGCTGCTGCTGAGCTGCCAACAGGTGGCAGGATGGCTCAGCTAAAAAAAAATAAATAAAAAATAAAAACCAAAATACTTTGGCCTGACAGCCACAGTCTACGCTTTTAGCATGACTGGTACGATTAGAAATGTGATTATGACTTCGGCCCAAGGCTCCTCGGCCCACGAGATTTACCTATAGTCACAGCAACTGTGTGAAGCATGATGCCCCTCCACCCAGGAGGACAGGTGACATCCTGGGGTGTGTTCCCTCATGATCAGCTGCGCAGGCCCCTGCAGGGCCGCTGGTCCTGGGGGGCTAACTTGGCCCCCCTCTTTCTTTGTAACCTTGGTTGAACATTTCATGCACATCCATGGCTTCCCCACCACTGACTCTGGGCTCACTCACCAGCCCGCATTCCCTGGTCTGTGCATCTGCCTCAGCTCCCAGCGAAACCTCCCTCCACTTCCGGAATGTTTCCCGCCCATGTGTAAAAGTCTTCAGAGGGCTTTCATCACTTAGAGGAGACTTATTAGTATCACATCAATTAATCCCAACAAGAAAAGCCAAAGCGCCAAAATAGTGTTTTATGAAAGAAATAACTTGGTTTGATAACAAAGAGTTAACTGAGATACTTAACAAATGTGAAAAGCAGACAATGTTTAATGGCAGCATTCCATTCAACGTCAAAGAAATGTACGCTTGGAACAACATTACTATTAAATGTGGCATTACATGGCTTCCCAGTTGGAGCCGGGGCAGGTAAAGCTGGTGTCTGGGGAGGGTTCCCACATCGCTTCCTCCTGATTTTACCACTGGAAGCACCTTTTTAAACAGTTTGTACCAAATTTTGTAATATGTTTTATAAGTCACTTACTGGACCCATAAGTTGATTATGGATTTTTTACCTTTTTTTGCATTTCAGTATGACCCCTCTAGGTGATCTGGCCCCCATTTGAGATTCTAGGAAGAACCTTGTTTCTAAAACCCCACGCTTACTTTATTTATCTTCTAAGAGACAAGCTCCCTTCACTGCCTAGACTGGCAGGAAAGGCATTTGTGCTCATCCAGGCTAAATATTTAAGTCCATTTTGGGGATCTTAAAATCTTTGATTAAAATCTTTTAGATGAATGACTTTTGCTTCTCTGGAAAACATTTTGTCAGGATATATATTATCATTATTTGCTTAGCTCTTCATGGTAACTATTGTAAATATAATTAATTATTCATGTAATTTCATGTTTGCCTCCTTACGAAAACTGTAAACTCTATGAAACAAATACAGTACAAAGAAAGTAACCTAGTTTGTTTCCTAATTGGCCCATGTTTTCATTTTTGATTCCTTCTGTTCAATCGCAGAGAAGCCGGGAGGTCTGTATGCAATTTATTGGCGTCTTAAATTTTACACCAGCTTCCAAGGCAGGTGACAAAGGTATCCCAACAACTGATCACAGAAACACCGCCTGTGAGAATCACAAACAAAAACAAAACCTTTCCTTATCTATTAGATTAAAAACTCCCCTTCCTCTTCTCCTTCCTGGCCCACCTGTGGGGACCAGTGTGGTGAGGCGGTTTGAACCCCGGCTCTGCTGCTCAGGCGAGGTCCGGGCCAGCTGTTTCACACTCTGCCCTCCCCTTTCCCTGTGACAGGGCACGTTCTGCCCTTGTCAGGACCCTGGGGAGCATAAGGCACATACACGGGCAGCTCCCGGCTGGCACCCAAGCTTCTCCTCCTCCTGGTTGGGGCAGAAGAAAACCCGGCCGTCAAGAAGCACGTGCGTCAAGGAGATGTTCGGGGCACCGTGAGAAGGAAGTCATTTAGTCCAGTGTTGCGGGAGGCATGGGTTTGCGGAGCTGGGAAATAGTCCTGAAAAGCCTTCTTACCCACCGTCCTTCTTTGACAGATGAGGAAGCAGAGCCCATGGAACGATTCTCAGGTGGGATCAGGGCATTGCCCTGGGAATCAAATTGTAATTCACAGAAAACAATATGACTGAGAAATGAAAAAGTGCTTTGTCGACAACAAAGTATTAAGCAAATGTTAGTTTTCTCTATTATTACAAATTGATACAGAGAAAACTTTAGGGCGCTGAGGGTGAAGGGCTGGGGGCAGCTTGAAAACACCCTGGACAATGTCACGCCTCTTCATGTATGACCACGGGGCAAGTTACAGCTGAACGTGCTAGAATTTCTAACGACCAGGAGGATAACCTACGTAAATATACAGAAGAATTTTCTTTATAGAAAAGAGCCCAAGGTCACATATTTTTAATGTTCTTGCAAGTATTTTTGATTGCTGATGTTTTATTTTCATTTTTGTTCAGAACTTGGTTATAATCAGAACTTGAAAATATAAGTTTACATTGATAAAAATGTCAAAAACTTCACAAATGTAAACGTTTACTCAGTGTAGTATGATCATAAGCGTCTAATGGCCTTGTGGGAAGATGACCCAATCCGACTTTTTTTCACCTTCCAGAAGAAACTGTAGGTGTGGGGCTCTCTTAGTCTACATGGCCAGTCAGTGCCCAAGTCGCCTGAATCTTAAGTGGCTGTTCACTCTGTGGGAACCTGTGGATATCTGGGGTCCTTTCAGTGTCTGGGTGGGTGAAGGTGCTGGACTGCCGTGGGCAGCCTGTTTCCCTCCAGCACCCCCAAGGCTAGGTCATGGACCGTCACAAACTCTTTGTTCTCTTAAAAAGTGTGGGCTTTCTAACTGGAAAGGACTGGAACACACAAACCGAAGCTATGGCTAGAACGGTGCAGTGCGTCATTAAGGACCTCACCTGTTAGGAATCGGGGGTCAGTGACCCAGTCATCAGCATACACTGCATATTGGCTTAAGTATCTGCTTTGCAAGTAGCCGTTATAGGTACAGAACACGAACGCCAGCACACACGAGTACAATGGTGTCGGCTTTCCTCCTCGGATCAGAAACGGGAAAATCAAGGACCTTCGGAAGCAAGAAGCAGAAACAAATTACAAACAACAACAGTGAAGATGAGCATTCCTGCAGTTCTAAGTGCCTTGCAGTTTTAATCCTGCTTCCGTCTGAGGACACAAGTCATTCTCAGTAACACTCACACTTGTTTACCATATCTGTTAAAAGCAGAATTTCCAGATAAAGAATTAACCATGTTTCAATGCACAAACTCAGGATTCTCGTTACACAGAACGTGACACAGACACACTGGGTTGCAGCAAACTGAAGGCTTCAAGAGGCTCGCAGAGTCTCCACTATCCTGAAACTCACAACTCGTTCTAGCCTGAGCAGTACAGTTTGGGGGATACCGTTTTATCATCTGCTACCATCACAATGGCTCCCATTCACTGAGCACCAGCACTTACAAGGACCCCAGCTACCTGCGTGGCAGACGCTTTGCACACACTCCACAGAGGACGAGATTAAGACTCATAACAGTTAAGTAACCTGCTCAAGGTCAGAGGGCTAGTGAGTGGCTGAGTATCAGTGTCAACCCCGGGATATTCGAAGGCCATGTTCTTCTGTTACATCACGCTGGCTTAGGTCCACACTGCTGAAAGTTTACAGAAAGAAAATATAAGACTGAGAAATTAGAAACTTATGAAGAAAAGATGCAAAATTATATTTTGTGTTGGAGTTTACTCTTTAAAGTCAATGCACACATTGTACATTTAAAGAGGTGGGATCACTACCTAGCCTACAGATTTTAAGGAGATAATAAGAAACTATTATCACAGCTTCATGCCAGTAAATTTGACAAGTTGGATGAAGAAATAGATAAAATCTTTAAAAGACACAGGTGACCAAAATTGACCCAAGGACAAATCGACAGCTTGAACAGCTATCAATGAAAGAAATTATGAAATTCTAGAAAAAGCAAAGCTAGAGTCAGGGGAGGGGATTAACTGCAAAGAGGCACAGGGATATTGAAGGGGATACTACTGTTCTGTATCTTGATTGTGGTGACTACCTGTATGCAATCATCGAAATTGATTAAATCACACACTTAAAGTGAGTGAATTTTATTTTATGTAAATTGTACCTTAAGGGAAAAATGTAAAAGCTTATTATTTGTTTCCATTCTGCCCATCCACTCCAGGGAGAAAATACAGCAGGAATAGTAACAGCATGACAGCAGTCACATCATGTTGGCTGTGCATCCTCAAGGCGCTCCCTCCGCAGCAGCCTCATGCAGCTCCTTGGGGGAACAGTCACATGAGTCAGAAGCAGCCTTCAGGGTTCTCATCTTGTTCAGGCCGGTCCCCCCAAAGAAGGACTTACGCAGGTCTAGGGCGAAGCACTGGTGGGATAGTAGGCATCCATGTAACCACGACGCATGTCATCGGTGAGGCGCTGAATCGCCTGGAAGCTGTAGTGTTGGCAAGCAACTGAGAAAGAACAGGAAACCTCAGCCACTCCTCTCTGTGTCTCACAAACATGGTGCACAGCTGGGCAGCTGGTTGGTAGAGTGTGCTGGCATCTGGGATGCAGGCTGACTGCAAAGCTTGCACCCAACAGCGGGATTCAGTCTCAGGGGAAGTGTGTGTGGCCTGGACCAATGTGGGCTGCCTTAAACATAGGCAGAGATAGTGACCTGTGATCAGGTGCTGTCGCCAAGATGCTCCTCCCCATCTCTTAGCCAGGGCAGAGGACTTGAGTTAGACCCAGAGGACACAATCAACGGCAGGGACAACAGGCTGTCACTCCATTCCTGAGGATGCAGACTTGACAGGCACCAAGAGCAGGCAGCCACATTTCTGAAGTCAGCCTGGGGCATTCTCCAGCCACTGGCAAGCAGGGAAGCGACCGCAGGAGGAGAACACTGAGACGCACCTTCCCTGGCAGTGAGGGTCTCGAGACATTTTCCAGGAGGCAAAGTGCAGAATAGAGCTGAGAAACTGTTAGAATTCCGAGTTTGAAGAAATACAGAAAAAAGAGAACAGGAAATAAGAGTGTGGGAGAGGCAAGGGCTGGATGTGGCTTAGAAAGATGCCTGATAAACTGTAGCGTTTTCAGTTCATAAGATATTCAGACTGCTGAGCTGGACAAAACCCATGCGAAACTCAACAAAGTATAATGGGAATGCAGGGTGAAAAGGGGAGGGCTAAAACCCAGGAAGCTTGAAATACACAGAGCGGGTGCTGAAAGAAAACGGCTTCAGGAAGTCTTCTGGGCTTGATGGTGTATGTTTCACAATTACAGATGAGTGAAGTGTTAAAGAAGCAACTCTGAGGGAACATTCTGCGAACGCAGCAGGTACTGCCCTGCAGGAGATGCGAATCATGTACAACGGCAAACATTTGACAGACGCCGCTCAATTCAGTTTCAACATCAGGGCTGAATTCTGAAGGACTGGCAGACACTGGCTGGCACCTTGCAAAGGTGAAACCCAGACCTCTCTTGCTTTTCCCTCACACCTCTTTTCTCCTCTGCAACTGAAGTCCTGTGCCTGTGCTAGCAACACAGTCTAGATCAGGTGTCAGCAAACCCAGTCCACCACCTGTTTTTGCAGATCCTGGGAGCTGATGATAGTTTTTACATTTTTAAATGGTGGGTTGTCGAAGGAAAACACATCCAGCCTAACAAAAAGCTTGGAAGAGTTTATTTCAGCCAAACTGACAACAATTGCCCAGAACCAAAGTCTCAAGGGATTGAGAAAATGCTTGGCAAAATGGCGGTTTGCAGTTTATTTTATACATAAAATCAAAGGAGAAAGGTTCCATGAAATCCACTGGTGGTAGATGAAGAGGGTGGGAGAAAGCAAAGCGGGGAAATCTCTGGGATTGGATAAAAGTAAACTGGAGAGACAGGTGCTTCTTTTACATAGGTGGGTGCAGGATAGCTAACAGTTCCCTCTCTACAGCACACAGAGATGGTGGTAATCAGAGGACAAGAATAGCAATATGAGATTCTGTAATTTCCTGCTCTGATGGTGGTAGGGGAGGGATTACTCTGACATTCCAAAGATGTTATCTTAGGTGGAAAAAGACAACAGACAGGATCACTTAAGGTAAATGTTGACCTTACCAAGGAAGCTTCAGGCTAAGGATGTGACTTCCCACCATGGCCCACTTGGTTATGAAAGTTTTTTATGCTCACGCCATCTTATGTGGTTATTTTCATTCTCCTGAACTTGTCACTTTAATATGTGGCCCCTTTTCTGTCCACACTCCCCTGTTTTTTTCATAAATCAATCCAAAGGATGCACTGATGACCACCAACCTTTTGGTTGGACAGTGTGGTCCCACGGTGCTAGGAAGGCTCATTCCTAGGAAGTCATAGTGTCAGCGTTTGTCTTGCTGAATGTTGGGCCATTGGGGCTGGGCAAGACTAGAACCTTAGATGGCATGACAGTCAAGGCCGAATTATTTATTTATATTTAAATATAATGTGAGCAAACGGGAGGCAGTCAGAGCCTATGTGTTCATTAAATATATTCTGGATCATTTCTAATCTTTGAGGTATCACAATTTGAGTTTTTTCCTGTCTGTCTTATGTTGCTTTTTGTATCATTTGTACAAATAGGACCAAGAGCAATAGTATTAAACCAGTAACACCGACTGAGAGCAGAAAATGTCTGTTAGACAAGCATGAGTCTGAGGGGAGCAAACATCCTAGCCAATCAAAGAATCTTCACATGCATTATCATAATTTTTTATTAAGTTAATATGTTTTCTTCCCTCATCTACTGCTATTGGCACCTTATGATACGTTTGGCCAGATAAATGAAGATTCTCTATTATTTCATGATCTAGAAGTTCAAATTTTTCTTCTTGGCCAATTAATTTCCATAGAAATAACTTCATGGGGAGGATTAAGCTCAATTTTCCAATACGTTGGATTTTCAGTATCAATACTACCATAGATTTAATTAATCTCAGGCAAAGTTAATTTGCCTATGATTTCTGTATTGCACCATATTCCTGTAGCATTTACTGTAAACCTGGTGTCATTACAACAGAAATCAGTTCGTATGACAGAAGAACTTTCTAACCCTTCCTAATAAAAAATTCCTCTTCCCATATACCATATATTGTTGTTTGTTGGGGTGAATACGATAGGCCAATATTGGGTGAATTCAGAATTCCATATAGATTGGGGACATAACCATTCAGCTTTTTGATTTTCACAATCAGATAATGAGATGGGTTCCCATTTTTTATTATTATTGTTTAATATGGCCCATCTACTTCCCATTGGAAGTATCCTGGTATTATTAAGGATGGTCCCTATACAAGCCAGCTGAACTATTGAAAACCTTAGCTTAGGATCTAACTGAGTGCTTGAGTTTTTAAGATACACCGTCTTAGATCACATTTTCCATAAAAATTTTCCAAAGTCCAGGGGGACCATAAGAGTCCCATAAGTGTCTGGCCTGTGCTTCTGTACCCATTATAGTTGGCATTGTTTCATAGCTACTTCGGATTCCATTTGTATTAGCACAGACAATAGGTCTTGTTGAGTCAGGGTGCAGGCACGGTCCCATGGCTGGGTTTGTGCATGAGATTTGGCAGTCTGTCAAGTCTGTTCTGTCCATTTAGCTAGGGCCTCGTTATCTTTCCACGCTGCTTCCCATCCTTTTCCTTCCTCTTTAAATAACATTCCCTCTATACGACCTGTTTTAGATAGTCTTTTTCTAACAAATGAAATTCAGCTTGTCCCAGAATGCCAAGGCCAGCTCCCAACCCTCCAAACATTTCCCTCTCATTTCTGAGAGAAGGCCAACGTTGTTGGATCCACCAGGAATGTTGCTACCATTGGGTGCCTATGGCCTGGGAGCAACTGGGATATACAGAATGGACCCAAAAATGTTGAGTCCCCCAAGCCATAGTTAAATGAGTAGTGGTAACCCCAAAATGAGCTAGGTTTGAGTATTCCATAGGGCTTCCCATAAGTGTCCAGGATGTCCAGGACGCAAGGAGGGTGGGGTACTTACAGAGATAACTACCCACCAAGTAATCCCAATAATT